GTACTTTGACTCTCATCATGTCCCCCGAGTTAACCCACAAAGGGTGGCAGGACGCTGGAGAGCTGCCCGAAGTATGGAAGCTTTACGAATTTGCGTGTCATCCTTGGGCAGGGGCCACCGTGCTGGTCCCCTCGGTAGCGTTCCAATTCTAGTATATGCTGCCACTGAAGCAAGTGCAAGAAACTCTTAAGAAATGGAAAACTAAAACAGGGAGGTTAATGTAAATGCGTATCCAGTTAGTGGCAAGCCACACAGAGAGGAACTATAGCAAGTTTAATTTTTTTTAATGTTTATTTATTTTTGAGAGAGAGAGAGAAAGAGAGAGAGAACGCGCGGGGGAAGGACAGAGACAGAGGGAGACATAGAATTCGAAGCAGGTGCCAGGCTCCGAGCCTGACACGGGGCTCAAACTCACGAACTGTGAGATCGTGACCTGAGCTGAAGGTGGACACTTAACCTATTGAGCCCCCCAGGGGCTCCAAGTAAGTTTAAAACACAGTGAACTATCCCCCAAACAAAGAACCACAAACAAAACCTTAAACTCCCTTTTGTTATTCTGATACTGTTGTGTGATATGGGTTTCACACCTGAATAACTGGGATAATCTAATGTCATAATTCAAGTTACAAACGAGAACTGGGATTCTCAATGTTGAGGAAACAATACATAAGATAGTAAAGAAAAAGCTTTTTAAGTCTTCAATTTGGATAGAAAGTATGAACATGTGTTATCTTAAAAAGAAAACGGGTCCTAGCTTTGTATCCCAAAGGCCTAGAAACGACGACCAACACAGCAGCAATGGGCATTCTAGAGCCTAGATTTTGGTCGTGTGATACCATTCACCACCAAAAGGAGTGCAGGATTTTGTTTTTTTCTTAGAAATAGCTGACTCCAGGTCTGGAGCAGAAGATATACAAGATAAGGCTGGAACATCCTATCATACTAGATAACAAGGAAGTTACTAAATGCTACCTAAACTACCAAAGGATTGTATCAGAAGGGCTCAGCAGCCACTTGAAGAGGTGGCCTGTTGGATAAAAATAACAATTTGAGTATCATGAAGTTGAATAAACGCAATGAATTCAAACACATAATATATGTTTAATTCAGTGATCATGATACCTAATGATGCTAAAAAAACAATCCACTGGTCACTTTTGGAGGATGCTGGTAAACCAACTTGTTACTTTGAAAACTGGCCAAAACTCGTTACTTTGAAAACTGGGCATTGTATCCTCTTTTTCCAGTATGAACTGTAATTCCTAGTAACCAAATGGCAGACAAGTAAAAGTTTCTCTTTACAACAATATTTCGGGTATTATATGAAGAAGGAATGGCAAAACTAGAATATCATCATTTTGCAACCCGTGATGAATTAATGAATCTACGTATTATGCTTCAATGGCTACAACATACAGAGACACCCAAATTCGATGCGTCTCTTGATGAAAGCACACAATGCTGAGGTTTTCTTATCACTGTATCTGAATCCAATCATACCTCTGGATCTATTCCTATTTCTAATAGGAAATACAAAGGATAAAGAAACCTATGAAATGACACCAGAGACATAATAGCAAAATCCAGACTGGGAAACAGAGATGGAGGGAATCTACAGGCTCCGAGATTACAAGAGTATGCCAACCATTTACCCCACATAGACCCCATTTGGATTCCCATTCAAACAAAAAAACTACTGAAGAAAAAAAGCAATTAGAAATTTGAGAATTTAAGTATTTCATAATATTAAGGAGTTGATGTTATTTTTGGTATGCTAATAGTATTATATTTTAGAAGTTCCTATCCTTTAAAGACACATATAAATATTTATGGATGCAATGATATATCACCTTACTGTAAGGGGGAGGAGCCAGTGTTATAAATTAAGCAAAATTAGTTAGGAGTTTATAATTGCTGAGGCTATGTGATAGGTACATGGGGTTTTGTGGTCCTTTTTTCATATATTCATATATATAGATAGATAGATAGATAGATAGATAGATAGATGGCAGCAAAAGACTCCATTTTTATAAGTTTATTTATTTATTTATTTATTTATTTATTTAGAGAAAGCACGCCTGCGGGAGGGGCAGAGGGAGGGAGAGAAAGAATCCCAAGCAGGCTTCCCACGGTCAGTGCAGAGCCTGATATGTGGCTTGAATTCACAAACCGTGACATGACCTGAGCCAAAACCAAGAGTCAGACACTTAACCGACTGAGCCACCCAGGCGCCCCAGGCTTTGTCACCTTATTCTTTTGCACGTATTTGAAATTTTCCATGACAAAAAAAATTTTCCAAAGCCAAGTCACCACGATTTAGGCTCTCACTGGAAATGTATCATGATGGGGAGGGAAGGAAGTATCTGTCGTAACTTTCAGGTTTCTTGCTCGAGGAATGGAATGGGTGGTGGTGTTTTACCAGATCTAGGAAAAGTAGGGGAGGTGGGTTTGTGAACAAGAAGAGTTCTATTTTGATCATGTCGATTTGGGGTGCCTGTGGTATATCTGGGTGGGACTGCACAGAAGGTTGGTGGAAATACTCAAGAGAGATGTGGGCAGGGAATGAAAATGTGAGTCACTGGATGACATCATAGGGAGAAACTGTAGAGAAGGGTGCACAAAGGGATTTGAGGAGTGGTCAACTAGACTTACAGTATCTTAGAAACTGGAGGGCCCCAGAGAGGTCTAGAACAGCTTATATATATAATTTGTTTTGAGAGAGAGAGAGAAAGAGCACACATGAGTGGGGAGGGGCAGAGGGAGAGAGAATCCCAAGCAGGCTCTGCGCTGCAGCACAGAGCTGGATGCAGCGCTCAATCTGGCAAGTCACGAGATCAGGACCTGAACTGAAATCAAGTCATACGCTTAACTGAGCCACCCAGGCCCCCCTAGGACAGTTTTTTTTAAGTTGACTATTTTAATATAATTTATTGTCAAGTTGGCTAACACTCAGTGTGTACAGTGTGCTCTTGGTTTTGGGGGTAGATTCCCATGGTTCATCACTTACATACAACACCCAGTGCTCATCCTAAGTGCCCTCCTCAATGCCCATCACCCATTTTCCCCTCTCCTCCACCCTCCCATCAACCCTCAATTTGTTCTCTGTATTTAAGAGTCTCTATGGTTTGCCTCCCTCCCTCCCTGTTTCTATTTTTTTTCCCCTTCCCTTCTCCCATGGTCTTCTGTTAAGTTTCTCAAGTTGAACAGCTTTTAAAAGAAGGGAACAGAGTCTTACCTCACGCTGTATACAAAAATGAACTCAGAATGTTTTAAGACTTCAATAGAAGAGCTAAAATTATTTAAAACTCTTAGAAGACACAGGTTTAAATAGTCTTTATGACCCTGGACTGGGCAACAGATTTAGATAGCACATCAAAGCACAAGCAATAAAAATTTAAGTAAACTGGACTTCACCAAAACTAAAAACTGCTTTGTGTCAAATAACACTATCAAGTAAGTGAAGAAAATGCACAGAATGGGAGAAAACACTTGTAAATTGTGACTCTGGTAAGAATCTAGTATCCAGAGTATATAAAGGGGCTCCTGGCTGGCTCAATTCGTAGAGCGTGTGCCTCTCAATCATGGGATCATGAGTTCAAGCCCCATGCTGGGCGTAAAGTTTACTTAAAAAAAAGGTGGGGGTGGGGGGCATGGGCACCTGGGTGGCTCAGTTGGTTAAGTGTCTGACTCTTGATCTCGGTTCAGGTCATGATTTCTTGGCTACAGTTCATGAGATCGAGCCCCATGCTGGGCTCTGCACTGACAGCACAGAACCTGCTTGGGATTCTCCCTCCCTCTCTGCCTCTCCCCAGCTCATGTGCACATGCTCTCTCAACATAAATACACATTTAGGAAAAAAAAAAAAAAGGCAGAGGATTTGAACACTTAAAGTTAACAAATGTCCAATAAACATGGGAAAATGCCCAACATCTTACGATTAGGAAGATAAAAATCAAGAGGTGCCTGGGTGGCTCAGTTAAGCATCTGACTCTTGGGTTTCAGCTCGGGTTATGATCTCACAGTTTTGGGAGTTTGAGCCCCACATTGGGCTCTGCTCTGGCAGCACAGAGTCCGCTTGGGATTGTCTCTCCCTCCACTACTTGTACCATATCTCTATCTTTCATGGAATAAATTTAAAAAAAAAAAGGAAAATGCAAATCAATGCCACACCAAAATATCACTTCATACCCACCCTGATGCCTATAATTAAAAAAAGATGGGAAAATATGTGATGAGGATGTGGAGAAATTGGAACCCTCCTACATTGCCGGTGGGAATGTAAAATGGTGAAGCTGCTATGCGAAAGTGGTCTGGCCATTCCTCAAAAAATTAGAGATTCAACCCAGCATTTCTACTCCAAGGTATAAGCCTGAAAGAACTGAAAACACATGTCCACACAAAAATCTGTACACAATACAGTAGTATTCATAATAGCCCTAATGTGGAAACAACCCAAATGTTTGTCAACTGATCAACGAATGTATGAAATATGGGACAGGTTTTCCCTGCTACCCAAAAGTACAGCATTCCAGTGAAACCTTTCCTAAGCCAAATGGTACAAAGTGAAGCAATTACCATTAATTATTAGGGAAACATTTTTGAGCTTTCCCAGACCCAAAAAATGTCAGGCTCTTCTGAGACCTTAGGATACTCTCGGTAATGGAAAACACAGGATAAATGGAGGTAAAGCAGAGATACACACACAGTTTAAAGCTTAGTACAGTGGTTTGATGCAGAGTGTAATTCCTGGGGAAGGGGCCTTGCAGGGCCACCCCGGCTGCTCCGGGTGAGTGCTGCCTGGAGATGTGCTCATGACAAAACCAACAGCGAACACTATTTCCGTTTTGCCTTACTTTTTAGGTCTTTTGTGAAAGCAAAGTGGCATACTGTGAACTTTTAAAAAGTGGGAGATAGATCCGTAAAGTAAGGTTATCTGACAAGTAGAACGAAGAGCACTCTGTAGAAACTTGGTTTCTAACTACCCCATGCTAGGGCACCTGTCACAGGATGACACATTCTAGGATTCCCTGTAGGAGAAAGGTCCAGAAGGGGGGAATGGGGAGTGACTGTGAAGCACGGGGTTTCTTTTTCGAGTGATGAATATTCTGGAATTAGTGCTGATTGTTGCACAGCCTTGTGAATATCCTAAAAACCACTGAATTGTGTGCTTTAAAGTGGTGAATTTTTAATGTGGATTCTATCTCCACTTTGGACTTGTGCTCAGCAGATGCTGCAGTGAAGCCAGGCCAGGGGGTGCTTGGAGACCGTGGGACCCCAGCACAGCAGCGGCTGTCCACTCACTCACTGCACCTGCCCTCTTCCATCATCTACCCCTCCCCTATTTAAGTCCAGGGACTGGCTGCATCCTAAACAGATTGTGGCTTCACCTTTCTTGCCATGATTGGTTTGGGAGTAGGCAGGCCATCCAGTTCTGCCCAAAGAAACTCAGGTTGCCGAGGGGCTTCTGGGAAATAATTCAGGATTTTCAGGACAAACAGGTCTTCTGCCTCTGGATACTGGAGTGTCAAGTTGAGGCCCAGAGCAGCTGCCTTGGGAGGTGAGGTGGTTGGACAATGTACTGAGGGCAACAGGGCAGAAAAATTGGAAATAACCAGCTGGGTCCTTAGAACCACCCCACCTCAGGACTTCTCATAGGGAGACAGATCTTCCTCCAGTTGGAAGTCATTTTATTTTACTTAAAAGTCCAAAGCATCTATCCTAATACAGGTTATGGTGACTGTTCCCCACGGATGGGATAAAAGCTTGGGGATGGGGCCAGAGGGAGATGTGGCCATCTTATTATCGCACTGTGATCAAACTTAGTTCAGGTCAAGGCTGGCACTGAGCATGGTATTGTGGCGGTCTAAAATACCCTTACCATGTTTCCAAGCCTGGTGTCTTGGTTTCTAAGCCCAAGTACTCTCACGGTCCATAACTAGTCGAGTCGAGTCAGCCAAGTGTATCCCATGAAGGAAAAATAAAGCTCAAGCTCGCTCTACTCATCCAAATTTCTAGGTAGCAAAAATAGAGGGTTACTACTGGGTTTAACTTCAGCCAGTCACTCCACATCTGTTTTAATTAGAAGATGGGGGTTAAGACCTATACAAGATTGACACAAAGACTGTTAAGTAAGAGTATCTGGCTGAGCTCCTAGCATGGTCTATAGCTCAACACATTTTATTGCAAATGAAATCCTACAAATATTGATTACAGGAACCCCAATTGTGGCTTTCTCAAATTCTGCAACTTCTACTCAAAGACCAAGCTGTTGTACCCCTAATAGTAGTCACGTTCCACCCTGGAAGACAACACCTCCCGAATAAGAATTAGGAATCTATAACCTAGAACTATTTCAGCAATAAAGAAAGCAAGTGGCTGCAAATTGCCCAGGTGGACAAATTTTACTTTATCCAAAAGATGCCTCCAAAAAGAAGTCAGAAGTTATTTTTAAATAAAGCTGGGGGGTTGAATCCAGATTTTGGCTACTCGCTCTATGTACACAGAACCCTGAACAAGTTTCTTCACCCGAGCTCATTTCCTCACTCATAAAAGGAGTGTTAACACTTGCATTACACAAGCATCCCGAGACCGACGACTGGAGGTAATACACAAAAAATTCACCAAGGAAGAGCTTAATAGGATAGCTCTACTCTTTTGACTAAGGGGATACACAAAGCAATCTAAGATATTTTTTTACAGTCTCCAATTTACTTTATTTCCCCCAAACGATAGAGGTGACCTGTGAAAGTGAATTCAAACTGCAAGCAACAATTTATCTTCTTGCTAGGTCACCAAGAGGAAAGGGGTTCTCTGCAGGGTCGCTAAGCTGAAGCAATCAGAAAAGTCCTCATTAACATCTGTTTTTGGAGCTAGAGCAGTTCACCAGCAAGGACACGAATTTAAGAAGTCCCAGAAGACTTGCAGGTCCGTTTACGAACAGAGTGTCATGATCGGTCTTACACACCCAATGGCCAGCTGTGTATAGACACAGAAGCACTTTTCCCTGACACAAGGACTAGAGCCGGACCTATTCATTTTCTCATTCTAGAGACTTTAAATGTGAATGAAGTGGAAAGGCTCTTCTGCTGTCAGCTACCAGGCCACAACCTCTGCCCTATCCAAAACTCTGCCTTTAAAAATACGCTTCAGAAGCAAGTACAGAAATCACTCCTCTGCTCCCAGCCACTCACCCCCAGTCCACTGCAGGGAGTTTTCCTAACTCCACCTAACACTGTGCTCTCCACCTACAGACGGACTCAAAACCAGAAACGGCCATCCCTGAAACCTCCACACCTCACACCAGAATGCATCCTGTCCCGAGAGACCTGGAGAAACCAGGCTCCCCCACTCCTGGGAAAAGATTAGAGGCAGCATTCCAAGCCAAACTGTATCCAGCTTTATTAAAGATACTTTTCATAAACAATCATGGTATTTCAGGCAGGACATGGGCAGACAATCGTTAACAGTATACAACAACTTTCAAACTCCCTTCTTCAATGGACTACCAAAATCAGAAAGCCACTATAAAACCCAATGAAATCTTCATTTGATGCTCTGAACAGGGAAAGTTTAGAGTGAGGGTTGACATTTCACATTTAGCATGTTGTTTAACAACTTTTCACAAGCCGACCCTGACTTTCAGGAAATGAAATGAAAATGGCAGAATTATCAATCTGAAGCTCCACAAGCTAAAAAAGGAACTCTTTTGAGGGATGCCATCTCCATGGTGACACTGTAAAGTCCAGATTGCCTGACATACTGGGAACCATTTCTTGGGGTCAGGTTCCAACAGGTCTCTGGGTTTAAGGGAGTCAAGTCTATGTTGAAGGCAGAGGGAGAAAAGGACATAAAAAATGAATTTTAGATTTTCCACCCTACAAGGCGTTTGTGCCAAGGTGGCTAATGTGTGTCAACATCAAGGAATTGCTCCTCCTGGGAACCAAGAGGAAGTTTCTCAGAACTAGAAGGGAATGGTGTTTTTCCCCTTGAATCAATCTAGCTTCGGAGATATTC